AGCACGTGCACACCAGGGAGCTGAGGACAGGTCTCGTTTCGATTCAGCGCCATCAAATGACGCCTTGCTAAGATTGAGTTTTGCACCAGACCCCATACAGTACTCTTCCACGAGCTCAAGCTGGGCTTGTATACTCGCTATGGAGCCTTCCAGGAGAGTCGTGTCGTCTGCGAAGAAGAGACCGGTGAACGTGTGATATCGTTGAGGCACACTCCAATTTCTTCATGGGATCGCATCTACACCTATCCATAGCTCCGCGGGGCTCACAATAATACTCTCGATCCTAAATTATCTTCGGTGTGATACTGTGCTTTGTCGGACATATCACTGTCTTGCATATTTTAAAATAATCCTTTTTAGATCCGTCAAAACTATACACTTGCTCGTCGGCATACCCCACATATTTACCTTAAGGATTCTCCATCCGCATCCTTTTTGTCTTGCAATATTTTTATAGTTTGAGGTTCTTCATAATTGTCTTCATTGCTTTTATCTGATCGTCCTCAAGCTTTTTAATCACCACTTGCAGCTAGATGACTGGATCTACCCCCCATATACTGATTGACAGCCCGTACCACCAGCGCAATCTTTTTCCGCCTTGGCACTGTTTGTTGGCTCTATAATTTATGACGAGCCTTGAGTAGATCTTTTAATCGTTGTTTTTTGCGGATGTTCATTTTCCATTTTTCTATGTAGGTGTGTTCACGAAAGCCTATTCTGCTCCCGAAATATTGAGGCTCGCAGTTGCCATTTGTACCTAAAAGTGATCTGCTTGTTGTATGACTACAAATTGCAAGCCATAATTATACACCGTTTTTCATTTGAATATATTGTTTGACTTTGGAAAAGACTTGTCGTCAAGGTCAGCACGTAGCATGGCCCATAATGTTCCTCATATATGATGCACCTGGAAAGGAAGCTAAAAATAAAGCCTGGATGGAGGATCTGACAAGGCTTGAACTCGTCTAACCAAGCCTTTTCGCTTCTTCTTCTACCATGTTTTTCATAACATGAGTCGAAGACAGCGCTTAAATCCGCGTCTGCTCCGCATTAGCGTTGCTTACAACGTTTACAATTCGTCATTTACCTGAAACCATACCAGTCTTTAAGAGCCGTTGGTTATTTGCTGTTTCAACATATTACTCTTTTCATTTGTGGCATATAGTAAGATGTGTATTACCGCAGTATATACCAATATAAATTTATCCAATAAAGTATAACAATTTCCAGATGAGAGTTTTGGGACTATATTATGGAAAGGACGGTGAGAAAAGTAAGTTGCTGGCCTATAAGATAGAATTTCGTCAAGTAGAAATCAATGAAATACTCTCAAAACCATTTTAGAGCTGACTCATGATACAAACGCAAAAGTAGTACTTCACTTATCAGATCGGCATCACATCTTATCGCAATTTAAAAAGTAGTCTTGGATGGATTATTAGACGCCATAAAATGGTATTGTGATGCTTTTAGCAATGGAAAATGGACACATCTGAACGACAGACATTTTAAAAGATGCGAGTTTATGCGTCAGCTTGTGTCTGTGGACGAAATTTTGACAGCGCTCGATGGCAGTGACTATCAGGAGAATATTCAGTGTAGAGAAAAAAATCAAGTTTTGAGGCATGATAAATGCATTAGATAAACTAGCGAATGGGGGGGGGTTAACCACTTGAGATTCATGCTACCGGAACACACGCTAGTACTAAACTTTCTCTACCGGGTTCCGTACCCCTCATTACACTATGGGGCTTTCTCTGTCAGTGTGGTCTCCTCCCACCCAACTATCACACACCAATTGGGTGCGGGTTGGCAGGACGGTCACTCCACAAGGGTGTGATTGCTCGTCCACTTTAGTGACGTACCTCCGCGTCCTTGATTCGGATCCTATGGGTATCGAACTAGTTATCTCCCGTCCCAAGCTACAAACAACTTGAGCAAGGGATCGGTGTTTAACCACTTGATTAAGTGAAATTAAAGTCAAATGAGGGCATATTATGGTTGTCGAGCGATAAAGTTCTTTTCTCGCAACCAGTGCGGAGCCGTCTCGTGATCCCGATCTCTTGTGGGAGTGCTGATAATAACGCTGCAATAGAGAAAAATATGAGCGGTATCAGTCTCCAAAATAAAGGAGGCTGCTAATCTTAATCCAAGTGAATTGACCGCTACATTCCGGTTTTTCTCAAAAGGCAGCCCAAAACGAGGTCCATATTTGTTGATGAAAACACAAAGCAAGAATGAAACACGAAAAAGCCACCGAACAAGAACGATGGAAGCGGGCAAGTAAAAAGCGACATTGTAAGCCGATTGGCCCGATGTCTGCGATCTATCAAGATAAGAAGATGGAGAATCCGCTGAGTCAAAATACTATCACGTTGGGGCTTGCTTGGGGCGACTACAAATAGTTATAAGTGCAGCCCAAGCCTTTAAAACTTATTGTACACCCAAATGATAGGTGAAGAAGTTAACAGCTCTATTTCAAGCTTGTAAGTTAGAGCTAGCCATAAATGCAGCTCTGGACTGATAAGTAATTTTGTACTTTCTAACGTAAGTGGTCGGGCAAAGTTTTAAGCCTTTCTGCGTAAGGTAATAGCGCTTGGATGCTTTACAATTTGGTCGCAGTCATGTAAGGAGCCGCGTGTCGCACTGCTCCCAACAAACTGGGGTTTTCCACTGTTCGGGCTTCTATGCTTGAAAAAAAGTAACCAACTGAACATGAGATGCGCGTGTTGACAGCATCTTTGATCGGCAGCTTCTTTTTGAATGCGTGAGGGTGACAATTTCCACGAACATTCAAGGTTAACACTCTACTCGATCCCAGCTAATTTCGGTGCATACCTTGACAATGATTAAAGCGATACAGGAAGAGTTTAAAGGGTTATCAAGCAGCAACACATGACATCATCCAGTTACTTGGCATTTGGTTCTTGCATCTTGATCCGTCCGGGCGCTTGTAATCCTCCGGTTGGCTTAGGTCGGCGGGCGAATACCCCAGCTCCTGCCGTTTGGGTTGAACGCGTCTGTCAACAACAATACTGACATGATTTAAATGTGGCAATCAGGTCAATCATTTGTCGTTTACGTATTCTGTGTTTCGTATAAAATTACATGCTACTACATATGAACAAGGCTTTACTTCTCAATGATGTAAACGTGGCACCTCCCACAGATATATACAGCATCTCACAAGAGCATCAAACTTCCATAGAAAGGAGGATCACGGCCTCAGCTTGGAACGATGTAAATGACGATTGAAGAGGTCGATTGGTCATACACTGATCGAAGAATGGACCGGGCGATTAGCGGTACTGAATGGATACTTTACTATCTGTTTGACGCAAATTACAGCACACTGCATACCCAGCAAAATCGAGAATTGTTTCTATAACTGTCGACTACACTTCCGTCGGGCAGTACAAGTAGCTGCTTGGTTTAGAAGTCATTTGACATAATATTGCATAAATTTCTAACCGCTGATTGCATATCAATTATTTCACCTGTTACAAAAGAAAAATATCCTCCTTTGGTTGCTTGTATATGGTCGTTCGCTTGCCAGGTAAATCCAGCACTTCATTAATCTGTTCCGTGCAATGCTTGTAAGCTTCACTTGACGTCCAAGCTTGATAATCGTCAAGTGATTTCCACTACAATAGTCACAAGCATATCCAATTAGCACATACTCTGCGTGGGAATGATCCATGCAATCTTACTTCAGAAAGAACGACGTATTTGTGATGATCATTCACGTCGCTTAGTGTCTCTAGAGAAATGAGACCGGGCTGTGATCGTACGACCTTCTGAACCTATTGCACTCAAAACAATCAAGTCAGTACGCAGCATAAAGATTAAAGATCGAAAACTTACATTCTCCATGAGGCGAACGACAGTTGGCTCAAAACCGCGGCTCATGAGACGCTCGCTCAGCACTCGTACAGGCTTGGTCAACATATTTGGCGTTGAGAAATTAAAGTTTGAATTCGCGTTCCGACCCACGTGTTACTTCGCCGCCTCGTTTGTCGAAACCCCTGAGCATAGCGGCATTGTAAATTTTAGATGCGGTGGTTTAATATGGTTTTAAGTATTAGAATCTGAATGTATTTTGTTTAAGCGGCTATTTCTGAAATGAAGCAAGATATTAACAGTGAGTCATATTCGCTCCCATTGGGGACTAATCCAATTGCTATGGGTCGACTTGGATGCATTTATAATTCACTTAACAAGACAACGTAGGTTGACATGAAATTATGGCATTCTATATATCTGATGATGTGTTTTATAGCGGCCAAATGCATGCTGTAGAATGCATGAATGTAAATGACACTGTAGCTGAACTTAGCGAAAGTAGCTCTCGTGTGCATACTATTCAGCAACTTTTAGAAGCTGAGCTGCAGCGTTGCAGCATCATATCGAACACAGATAGAGGAAAACATGTCTTTTGCTACAACTCTGTGGAAAGCAGTCAAGCACGGATCTGCCTCCACGCCACTTCATCCGTTATTGGCAGCCTTGCCAGGTACGATGCTGAATTAAGATTAGTTAGAATTTGTGAAGTGAAATGAGCAGTATGATAGTCTTCAAAAGGACTTTAATCGCCTGCATCCTTTGGCAATTAAACAATATGTATATTATATTGTGTGCGGACTTTATGCACTTCATCAGGTACTACGTCACATTCCATATTAAGAAAATTACATTGACGTGCATATGTTGGTGTTCAGGCGGGATTTACATGCGGTGGTGTACGTAACTTCTTTGTTGTACTGCATCCACTTGAGAGGTCGCTTCTGTCCCTCTCGAGATTCTGTAAATATGTTCACGGTGTGAGGCACTAACTCTGCGCCAGCTTTCAATGTCATCAGTACTTTTGTGTGGAGGAAATGTGGTCAAAATTGCTGCATGGTTTCCATCTGCTCGAGTATTAAATTCTCTTCAATCAAAAGAGTACGTGGAGACATTCAAAAAAAATTAAGCTAATGCCGTACAGAACGCTTTTCAGTCACTTACACAAGGCCCATTATATTAATTGTGTCTACCAGATTCCTTCCAATTCGTCGCTCTAGCATTAAAATGCAGTTTACGAATGATGATCGGGCTCAAGACGTGCGAAGCGTGGCATTTGTCATGGCAGAAATGCTCACTGGACTTCGTATTCGTGGAAGTCTGATGGAAAAGAGTCGCTTGCTTGACGAAATTGTCACAGGCTCACCAGAATATGAGTTCTTAAGAGACTTGCTAGCATTGAAACCTCTCCAAGAATTAATGAAACATTCGTACTTTTCGACGGTCAATCCAACGCAGAGTTTGGCTTCTGACGCAACGCATGGGCAGCAGCAGATTGTCGAGACATTTTTAAGTCAGGAACTGAACAAATGCCAGCTAATGGAACAAGAATACCGAGAAGAAATTCGAGCTTGGGGCGTCCAATTTGAAAAAAGGTATATGAAAAAGCCTGAGTCCATCGACTGCCCAGCTAATATTATACGCCTAAATGGACGGCTTCAAGCCTTGAAAGCGCGAATAAAAGAACTGAACGACCGCCTCACCACATCCCATCCTGGCGTCAATCAACTGTTTGGCGTCAATCAACTGTTTGAAATCAAACAGCCTTTAGCAAATGAAGCTGCCAATCAGATCATACACACGCATCAAGACATTCGGCCAAACCTCTTTCTAGATGAATTACCAGTTGGTACAGAAAAGAGTTCGGAGTCGATTGGCCAAAGCGAAGGAACCAGATCACCAGCACAAAAGGCGTTTTTGAACCGGTTTCAATCTACTCAATAACGCTGATGCCTCGGATTTATCTTTGTTTGATATAGAAGAAAAATGCGATTCATCGGTAATTTAGTGTAATTTCTCTGCATTCTACATACTTTAGACATGATAAAACAGCACAAGCAAACGGCACTTAAAAGTATCGCACATGATGTGGCTTCAATCTGCGCTCCTGTCGCACGCTCGCACGTGCATGAGCGCAGTCATTGGTCCACAAACACAAGATCCAGTGACAAATTTATCGTTCCTTGCGACGCTACTGTCAATAGACTGTTAAAATGAGGGATTGAATGTCGTATTCGTACTTACGCTTCGACCAAATTATCATGAACATTCCAGTGTACTTCTAAAGTTGCTCCATAAATCAAAGTCGATCTTTTCTCGACATTAAAAATGGTCAAGCATCATCTTGCCAAGGGCATTGGCCGCATGTCGGACATGATTATGACTAAAGGCAAAGGCACATGGATTTGGACATCTGACAATCGCAAGCTTTTAGACTTTACAAGTGGCATTGCCGTTACCAGCGTGGGTCACTCCCATCCAAAGGTTGTAGCCGCCGTCCAAAAGCAGGCTGCAACGCTAGTGCACGCTCAAGTGAATATTGGGTACCACCAGCCTATGTTGGACTTGATAAAGACGTTGTTGCCAGTGCTTCCTAAGACTTTAGATTCGCTCTTTTTCGCGTGCAGCGGATCCGAAGCTGTTGAGAATGCTGTCAAGCTAGCACGTCATGCTACGGGTAAAACCCAAGTGATTGCGTTTCAGGGTGGTTATCATGGTCGTACAGTGGGGACAATGAGCCTGACGTCAAGTAAGACGGTATATAGTGCTGGTTTTGGTCCATTAATGCCTGGTGTGACGTTTGTACCGTACCCATACGCTTTGCACGGTCCGATTCATGACGACGAGAAGAACGTCAAATGGTGTTTGGAACAACTTCACCTTGCCTTAAAACAGCAGTCAGCACCACGTGATACAGCAGCGATTATTATTGAACCGGTCCTGGGCGAGGGTGGATACGTTGTACCACCCAAGAGTTTTATGAAAGGGCTACGCGAAGTTGCGTCTGCGAATGACATTTTATTGATTGCAGACGAAATCCAGTCGGGCTTTGGACGTACTGGCGGTTACTTTGCGATTGACAGTCACTTTGACGTGCAGCCGGATATTCTGACGTTTGCCAAGGGTATCGCTGATGGCTATCCAATTAGTGGGATTGCAAGTCGCAAGGAATTGACCGACTTACAACCACCTGGATCAATGGGGGGTACATACGCTGGTAATGCTGTTGCTTGTGCTGCCGCTATTGCAACGCAACAAGTCATTGCAGACGAAAAGTTATTGGAAAACACACACGTGCGGGGAGCGCAGCTACAGACTGGTCTGAAGCAATTAAAGGCGTCGGGGAAGTATCCGATACTGGATGTACGTGGTTTGGGTCTGATGATCGGTTTAGAATTTGATCCTTCATCAAGGATTAAAGGAGCAGCGAGCAAGGTTTCAGCAGCATGTTTAAATCGTGGAATGATGCTCTTGACCACAAGCGTGTACGAGACGCTCCGTTTTATGCCACCGCTTAACGTATCGGAAGACGAATGTAACCTTGCATTGGAGATATTTGAAAAAGCTTTAAATGACGTCTTTAAACAGTAGATGTAAACTTGAATATATTTGATGGGAAGTGAAATCATACTTTTGAATACATCATAACAATTTATGTTCCCTGATCAGAGAGTAGATCTGGTTTGTTACTCATCTGCTCATATAACCCGGCGATCTGCACGACAAACAAATCAACGTGAGTGCGTTAAATTCTAAAGTCAATTAGCTGTTTAAGTTATAAACGCAGTGTCGCATTCACTCGCTATCTACTATGCTTACTGAAGAAATGAGCTCCTTCTGCTCCTTCAATAGTTGTGCAGTTGTATCGGCACCTGTACTACTCGCACCTCGTCGACGATTGACCATCAATGCCGCTGCTATCTTTTTTGCATTATTGTCCAGACACTCAATTAGATCTTGTACGCGCAATATCTCGTCGGGTACCTCAGCCTTCTGCACTTTCAGCTGGTTTAGTAGAGCTTGAGCGCCCGAAATGTATCTATTCGTGTTAGCGTCAGTCATCTTATACTTTTTAATAAGGTACCCCGTCACTGAAGTGAACAAAAATAAAGGGTACGTTTAATCTTGGGAAGAAGAAGGAAGTAGCAGCATGTCGGCGGATCTTTTTGCAGATTGGAAAAAAGAAGAGGAAACGTTAGGAGACCCTCGTCATGGAGGTGGTCACGGTGGTGGCATGTACGAGTCTCCGTACGGTGCAGGAGGTGACGCCTACGGTGGTGATAATAGTAGCAATGATGATTTCGACTTTGAATCAGTCGGTGACGACGCACAAAAGAAGAGCAAAGAGGAAGAAAAGCCCATGTTTGAAGTACGAGAACATGGTCTGAAAGTATCACGTCGCAAGGGGTTTACGCTCTGCTGTATGGATGTTGGGAATGGGGTTCTTGCCATGGGTTCGCAAGAAGGTATGCTATTACGATGTACCACAGAAGCCACGGACAGTAGTGGTACTATTGAAGAGATTATGATTGAACCTCATGTTGCCATGTCGAACGTATTTATTGATCCTACGGGTGCCCACGTGCTCATTTCGATGGAAAATGGATCAAATTTTTATCTTTCAACAGGATCGACACGTCCGAAGAAAATTATAAAAGCTCAGTCACTGAAGTTTACATGTGTAGCTTGGGACCGGCAAGCTGGATCACCAGAAACTTCGGAATCGGTACTTATTGGTACAGACTCTGGTGCTGTGTTTGAAGCAGAGTTTGACGGCGGGAAAGAAAAGTCGTTTAAGAAAGTGTATCAAATCTCAAACCAGGGGCCAATTGCCGGAATAGGCTTTGAGCATTGGACACTTCCATCGGGAGATTTGCGGTACTATGTCATGTTGACTACTTCCGCGTCCGGAAAGAGACCGATGAGGATGTTTCAGTTCATTAGTGGCAGTTCTGGTGGTTTAGAAGCCATGTTTAAAGAGTATACGAATCCAGAGCGACTACGATTTCAAGAACTTCCTGGCGATGTTACGACGGCGGAATTACGTTTTTATTCAAAACAAGAGCGTGAACGTGCTAAGTGCTTTGGGGTTCTTACTGGAGACGGGGTATACCATGGTGACTTTGTCTTTGGTCTCTCAAGTACCATAGAGAATGTGACGTTGAATACAGGATTGCTAGCATACCCCGGGAAGCAAGCAACCGGTCGTGGATCGTTTACACCACCCATTTCGATCGCAGTGACTCAGTACCACGTAGTTCTTCTATTTCCACGTCATGTCCAGGTCGTTTCGAAGCTTAGTGGTGTCGTCGTGATGGAAGAAACATTTGATTCACGCGTTGGTACTGTAAATTGTATTGCAGTGGATGAGACGTTTAATACAGTGTGGATCTACTCGAATCGTCGGATACTCGAACTTGTTATATCTGATGAAGATCGAAACGTATGGAAACTATTCTTGAGCAAAGCCATGACGGGTACAGGAGACGACCGTGACTTTGAACAGGCGCTCAGTGTCTGCCGCAATGGTTGGGAACGTCAGCGTGTTTTGACCGCACAAGCAGATAAACTCTTTGAAAAGGGCGAGTTTGATCGTGCTGCTGTGATTTATGCCAAGACGACAAGGTCGTTTGAAGAAGTAGCGTTAAAATTTTTGGAGAAAGAGACGCGGGATTCGTTGTTATTGTTCCTCCTGCAAAAATTGAAAAGTCTGGGCGTCGAGGAGAAAACACAAAAGACTGTACTCTGTTCTTGGATTGTCGAACTGTTTTTAGACAAGTTTAATGTGCTGAAAGGAAGTGCACAGGATGTGGATGCCCACGCAAACTTGCTGTTTGAATTTAAACAGTTTTTGCAAGACCAAAAGAGTCATTTAGACCCAGCCACGACATTTAACTTGATCTCGAGTCATGGTCGACCAGATGAGCTCGTATTTTACGCAACATTAATTGAAGATTATGAAAAGGTGATTACATACCACGTCGATCGTGGCGAGTACGGTGCAGCCATTGAATTGCTACGTAGCGTCGAGACGTCCAAGATTGAAGAGTTGTGGTACAAGTATTCACCAGAATTGATCATTCATAAGCCAAAAGAAGTGTACGAAGCATGGCTAGAAGCAGCAACATTAAATCCAACGCGTCTCATTCCATCAATTGTCCGTCATGTGCACCAGAAAAGCGGAGGTGGTGATACGACAGGTAATACTACAAAAAGCCGATCGGTACTAGACATGGCCATCCGCTTTCTCAAGTTTGCTATCAAACAAGGCAATCGAGACCCAACAATCCACAATTATCTGCTCTTTTTACTAGCAAAACATCCGGATGAACGCTTGCTTATTAGTTTTTTGCGCAAGAAACACAATGGAAAGCATCTCTTTGACATTGCCTTTGCTCTTCGTTTGTGTACTCAAAATGAAAAAAATCGTGCGTGTATTTACATTTACTCTGCCATGGGATTATATCAAGATGCGGTGGAAAAGGCATTGCAAGTGGATGTAAAGATTGCAAAGGAAATGGCTGGTATGCCTGAAGATGACGAGACGCGCAAGAAATTGTGGACTTTAATTGCCAAGCACACGATTGATGCTGGTGGAGAGATCAAGGATGCAATGAACATTTTAAAAGAGAGTGATTTGCTTAAAATTGAAGACATTTTGCCATTTTTCCCGGATTTTGTGCTGATTAATGAATTCAAAAAAGAGATAAGTGAATCGCTTGAAGTCTACAATGATCGTATTGACCAGCTCAAGGAAGAGATGCAAGACTACACACAATCGGCTGAGCTAATCCGTGCAGACATGCAGCAGCTACGGAAACGATGTGCTGTTGTGTCTGGCAACCAGCGCTGCGAACTGACAGGACAGAATCTTTTAGGCAAAGAATTTTACGTCTTTCCATGCTCGCACGCTTTTCATGCTGGTGCACTGCGTCAGGAGATGCAAAAGCATCATAACAGTTTTCAGCGTCAAACAGTCAAGCAATTGATTCAAAAACTCACGGAACTGTCGACCGAGATGCCAGCGCGCACAAACTTTTTTCAGCGCCCATTGTCTGCGTTTACGTTCCTCAATTTGTCGTCAAGTGAAAAAGAAGTTATGACACCAGGAGCAGAGGGAGGAAATGCTGCAACGACGGCTAAGGCCAAAAATGCTGCAAAGGAGCAGTCTATTGCACAAGAACGGGAGATGGTACAACAGAAATTGGACGAGATCATCGCATCCGAGTGCATTTTCTGCGGTGAAGTAATGATCAAGTCAATTCACACTCCATTCATCTCACCGCAGGACGAAATTAACGAGGGAAAAGAATGGTCGATTTAAATGTTTCGTAATGACAGTAATTTGATGATTGAAGGACGGTTGAATTGTTTTGATACTTTGATTGATTTGAATGGTGTCTAGTAGCAGTTGTGAACCTCAGAACATCAGCGCTGAATTCAACGAATCATTGACTGAGTGTGTAGTATTATTGAGCCGCGGAACTTACGAAAGAGAGGTATCTTACACTTGGCTTGAATGTAGCGAATCGATGTCCTTCAACAGTAACGTGGAGTAACGATCGAGTCCTACCTACCTGGACAGAAGCTCAAATGCGAGAAAAGTAAAGAATGAGAAGTTATAATGTATCTATTATTTCTTAAACTGGTGTATTCTGATCACCTTTACCTTGACACGAACGATGAGTCGGATGAAGACCACTCTATGCTTGAGTCCCCAAGACCTTTTACTGTGTAAGGACTCATAATCTGCTGAATAATATACACTACTTCCATAGCCGATGGACGGTCGTCAGGATTTAACGACAAACAAGCCTTTGCTAGTCGTAGCACCTCCTGAGGACAACTTTCTGTAAACTCTGGAATCAACTCTCCAGCTGCAACCATACGAAGAATGGCAATTTCCATGGCTTTCCCACCTTTGGGTGGATTCTTGGCATTCCAGTATGGATAATCTTCTGTATCTATCTCAGAAAGAACGATACCAAGTGAATAAATGTCGGCACGCTCGTCATAGTCTTTGCCAAGTAGAACTTCTGGAGCGATCCAAAACGATGTCCCGATCCCTGCTGTCATGTGAGTTTCTATTAAATGACGCTCACGACATACCCCAAAATCGCTTAATTTCGCCTCCATCTTGGTATTCAACAAAATATTCTTGGACTTGAGATCACGATGAATTAACTTTGGTTCCAACGAGTGCAAATACATTAAAGCTTCTGCAATATGTTGGACAAGACGAAGTTTATGCTTTTTCCACGTCAGAGACGAAGGAGCACGGTGAATGTTTTGCAAAACTGCACGTAAATCGCCAAGTTCCATGTACTCTGTCACTGCACTTAAATTCTGCAGTGTGTCCCATGCGACACCAATAAATGTCACGATATGAGGGTGATTCAGTGTCGACATGAGACTAATTTCTTTGATAAATGCTTCGATGTGCTTCATATCCAAGCAGAGATCTGTTCGAATGCGTTTAATCGCTACGCGATGTCGGTTGTACAAGCCAGAGTAGACAAGACCAAAACCTCCCTTGTTGATACACTTGACAATCTTTATATCTGTAAACGGAATGCGATGTGCAATGATGCGTGGATCATTGATAAGATTCGTATTTGGCGAAGAATTTGACTCGAACGACAAGGTGTAGTCAATTTCAATTGCATCACGATCCTTACGTTGAGAACGTCCACGTCTGTGTATCACAAAGACAAAGAGCAGGATGCAAACTGCAAGACAGACTGGTATTACCACATAATTGACAAAACGGTGGTTGCAAGACGAAAACTTTGAATTTGACTCTGTAGTCATATTCCCCAGTACGCAAAACTTGACATTCTGGGCTGCCATCCACATTCCATTATCACAAGCATATGTGTCAGGAGGCAAGTCCATGTTAAAGTTGGTGAGCTTGGAAATACTGTCGTACACTTCGGTTGAGATCGTCCAGTCTTCAATCATATTGTTTTCAAGGTACAGACTGTCGAGGTGGTCAAGTTCAAGCAATCGATACGGAAGTTGAGTTAAAGCATTGTTGCTGACGTTGATAGACTTTAGTAGACATGAATTGGTAGCGCGCATTTGTGATAACAATTGCAAGTACGTATTTTGTATCTGGTTGTACGACAGATCCAAGTACTCCAGACTGACAAAACTCAGTAAGAATGTTGTTGTGACTTGACTTATATTTGTCTGTCGAAAAGTTCTATCAAAACAAATGAAAGCGTCAATTCACAGTCTCCAGTCGTATGTCTCACATAGTATAAACGTACAAATTTTCAATGGAGTCTGGTGCTGTATCCATTACTGAGTGCAAATCGAGATTTTCCAGCGTGCTGGTCGTTCAAACACAAAGTTCATTAGTACACATACCATTAATTATTCTTGTGGTTATATCAACTCACATTCTCTTTAGAGTCGAGCTTGTACTCACCTCAATCAGAGGCGAGTTGTCCGTAGCGTATTCGTCCCAGCCAGACAATACATCCACTGTATTCAATGTCACAATGTCTCTTCCGACTCCAACAATTTTTATCGAACTCAACTCATCAGGTACGACAATTGTCACGAGCGAATTAATCTCCAACGTCGTCCCATACTTTAGTGTAAGTGGCTGGTCTGTGAGTTGAGTCCGCGGTTGAATGTAAAAGTTCCACTCAGTCGAATTGTTATAACCCTCTAAACACGTACAGCTTACACTGGCGTTTGTATAGACATCAGGACATCCACCATTTGGCGTGAGGATTCTAGATTTGGTCTGAATGGATGGTTTGCCTTCGCATACGATCGGTAGAACTTCCCAGTTGGCAGTAAGATTGTGACTAATGGCATTTTTCCATACGCCTTTAATGTCATTTGGAAAGAGTCGTGTCTCGCCATCTTGCAAGTAATTTTCAAGCCAAGCCTTTACCTGATCGTCAATCTCTTCGTCACCAACTTCTGCAAATGTGATCGGCGCTATGACCACTGTCAGCACCAGTACGACCAATATCTGTAGCATTCGGAGGAATGTCTGGTGGTAAGACTGCGCACAATTCGATATGAATGCAAGCTAGTGCACTGTGATAACTCGGACCGTCACTTTCGTTGCCCTGTGAGGCTATGAGTTGAAGTGACATCTTTTAAAAGTAGAGAGTATCATGATAAGATCTGCAATGGCCCTTTTGGCCGCTCCAGATTTTAGGATATGGCTCTCCTCGGAGGGAAGACTCGTTCTAGAAATTCAAACAAGGGATGAGGAAGAAATTACGTATCGAACATGGTGTTCAGTAAAGTATCAGCAGAAATCACACGTGCGACTGGGTATATGTACAAAGTAGTTGAATGATTAAGAGCGCTATGATACGTAGTCTTTGAACTGGTCAGCTTCCTTACCGAAACGATGAGTCAAAAAATTTCAAGCATTTGTTAAGCTTTATTGTTTTACTGTTCAGAGAATCTATTCGTACATGTGATACGGACCATTTAAGCACATGGAATTTGTTACATCCAATAGCTCGCACAAAACCACGCGCAAAGCAGATTGGAGGACATGTCGCTTTAAATATACATGTCTTAATCGCCACCCATTTTGTACGACATTGAGCGGCAATCACGCAGAGCAAGAGAAAAGGTGAAAAGTGGATCACATCGCTTCAAGTTCTAGCGACTACATCAAGCAGCTGTGGCGAAATACGCCACTATCAACGTGACAGATGTGAACACAAAGCCCGGCTACGTGATATCATCGAACTTCATTCAGAAATCAGCACGACTCTTACTTGAATCTGTCAGACTTCCGAGCAGTAGCAGTATCCACTTTACCAAATACCAAAACCTATATTAGATATATTACATTGGTGTTACTCTTCCCATAAACACCCGATAATTTTCCAGGCAAATAAAGGGACCGTGTATTAAACTTAAAGCCGTCGTTTCGGACCCTCAGAGCTCGCACTTAGTGTCGGACATTTTGATGCATTCTATGCTGACCTTTATTTACACACCTGTATGTAACGGGTACGTACCCTATTTTGATGACTGATATAATAAATTACTGGCCAGGCGAAGCTCAGAAGTAATAAAATAAAGTAATATCATGTAGTATTATGATGAGTTCTCGGTACGAATGAGGTTGATGGGACCATGTAAAGGTGAGGTCCGTGGGAAGTCTGGTCTGATAGCTTCAAGCTGTGCAGTACATCAGAGAATGTTGCTGTAGAAAATGAGACAGAGAAATCCTGTACCAAATAAGCCAGACTTATTTTCGTGTATAAATCACTGTGAAATTAAGAAAAAGTAGTTTATTTTTTAAAAGGCTCTCAGTTACGAAGGATACAACAAATTTTGCAGGAATTTGTACCGCCTAGTTTTTTAGAAAGATGAGATTTGGCAGACTATATATATCCAAGAGTTAGAATATCTCATTGTTGCGATGGCGTCTGGCCCTCTTTCGGAGGCGGGAAACCCAAAAAACGTTACCCTCTTCACGAAAAGCATCCGAATTATTGCGGTTTTTACTGAGACCTTCCGCGTCTAAACGAACCCTTTCGCGAAAAGAATCTGTGTCGCATCAATTTGAAGTAAATACACTCCCCATGAGAGCGGGATGGGGAACCAGAAGTGGTACCTCTACGTGTGCGCAAAAGGCGATAGGCATCAGCCATGCTGAGGGCGACAAGCGAGAATTTTCTGTTTGCTGGGCAGTTCCGCGGTACCTTCAGATGTTTCAATAGTCGGAGTACTAAATATATGCACTAAGTTGGCCGAAGAAACCTTATAGCACCTCCAGCGGGGCTGCCGTAGCGTTGCGCAAAGAATAAGCGTAATTTAGATCCTAAGCCTTTCGTTATATACTTAGAACAAGTACGAGTTAGCAGATCGCAGTTACTCCAAGAGTAATGATTGCCTTAACCGAAGGCTAACTACTCTTCCGTTCAAACTCGAAAAATGATTCTTATTTATTTTTATCTGCGGCAAAGCCGCCTAATTTAAT